CTTGATTCTGAAAAAAAACTTTTCCCGCACTCTGAGCATGAATAGGGACGCTCACCTGTGTGACTGAAAGAATGATTTGATAAACAGGTCCTCTTTTTAATTCAATATATATAAAGTCAAAAGTCTTAAATAGCATTCAGCAGATTTTCATTCTATGTCTCCTGTGAACTTTGCACCTCTTTTATGGTATAGCATATTGGAACTAGCCGTTAGTGATAAGAGTTATCTATAACTAAAGATTCCAAAGTTCTTCTTTCATATGCCAAGCAACTAAAGTTAGTAATTACTAACAGCGATATTTACTAACAGCGATATTTCCGTGTTTGCGGATGACACCAAAATTGGGAGGGTAATAGACACGGACTTAGACACCATAACATTACAGGAGGACCTGGATAAAATAGGGGGAGGGGCATTAATGTGGCAGATGAGGTTTAATGTCGATAAATGCAAAGTAATGCACTTTGGAATTAAAAATAAACAAATGGGTTATACAATTATGGGGGTGCCGCTGGGGAAGTCAGAAATGGAGAAGGATTTGGGGGTCATTGTAGACCACAAACTGAAAGGTAGTTTGCAGTGCCAGGCTGCTGTAAACAAAGCTAGCAGGGTCTTGTCCTGTATTAAAAAGGGGATCTATTGCAGGGACGAGTCTATAATTTTGCCACTTTATAGATCATTGGTTCGACCTCATCTGGAGTACGCGGTCCAGTTCTGGTCACCAGTACTAAGAAAAGATGTCCTTGAGTTGGAAAAAGTCCAGCGAAGGGCAACCAAACTAATTAGGGGTATGGAGGACCAGAGCTACGAGACGAGGCTACTAAATTTAAACATGTTCACATTGGAGGTGAGGAGATTAAGGGGGGATATGATCTCCATGTACAAAATGTTCAATGGTGGGAGCAACATTAGCGATAAACTGTTTAAAATTAACTCCGTTACAAAAACTAGAGGCCACCACCTAAAATTGGTGGAAAAAAAATTACAGCACAAGGGGCGAAGGGGGTTCTTCACAGTAAGATCAGTTAGGGTCCGGAACTCACTGCCACAGACGGTGATTTCAGCAAATAATGTGGAATTGTTCAAGAAACTTTTGGACGATTTCTTAAGGGACCGTAATATACAGGGGTACGGGTAATATACAGGGGTACAGGTAATATACAGGGGTACAGGTAATATACAGGGGTACAGGTACTATACAGGGGTACAGGTAATATACAGGGGTACCGGTAATATACAGGGGTACAGGTAATATACAGGGGTACAGGTACTCCTAGAATGAGATCCTAATTGGCTGGACTTGATGGACTAATGTCTTTATTCAACCTCAAATACTATGTAACTATGTAATTACTGATGTCATAGGATGCCAAAATTCTTTCTTGTAATATTGTTATTCAAGACACTTCAGTATGGGTACAAGTTTAAATGTTGATAAAGCATTCTGTACAGTATAAAGACTCAAAAACTGTTGTAATAAATGGAACATGTGTGAGTCTGCCTCAGTGTAGTTCATTCTGTGTTCCCAAAGCGCTTCGAAGGAGAATCCCCCAGCCGTCTAGATAAGAGGCCCTATCAATTGGTGTCAGAAGTGGGATCCGAAGAGCCATCTTTGTCGGTGAGTTGAAATTTTGTACTTTTATACATAGTTACATAGTATTTGGGGTTGAATAAGGACATAAGCCCATCAAGTCCCCCAGCCGTCTAGATAATAGGCTCTTTCAGTGACTTCTCTGGTGCTTACGAAGACTTACATTGTGAGCGAAGCATTTCTCACACTCTGGACATGCGTAAGGACGCTCACCCGTGTGAATTCTCTGGTGTCTAACAAGATCTCCTTTCAGAGTGAAAGCTTTCCCGCACTCCGAACAGGAATAAGGACGCTCACCCGTGTGATACTTCTGGTGTTTAAGAAGGCCTTCTTTCAGGGTGAAAGTTTTCCCGCACTCAGAACATGAATATGGACACTCACCCGTGTGAAAGCTCTGGTGTACAACAAGTTTTCTTTTCTCAGAAAAACTTTTTCCGCACTCCAAACATGAATAGGGAAGCTCACCGGTGTGAATTCTCTGGTGTAGAACAAGACCTGCTTTCTCTGTGAAACTTTTCTCGCACTCAGAGCATGGGAAAGGACGCTCACCTGTGTGAATTCTCTGGTGCCTAAGCAGTGGATAGGTTTTTTTGAAAGCTTTCCCGCACTCTAAACATGAATAAGGACGCTCACTTGTGTGATTCTTCTGGTGTTTAAGAAGATTACCTTTATCAGTGAAAGATTTCCCGCACTCTGAACATGAATACGGGCGCTCACCCGTGTGAACTCTCTGGTGTGCAAGAAGTTTTCTTTTCTCAGTGAAACATTTCCCGCACTCTGAACAGGAATAGGGTCGCTCACCCGTGTGAAGTTTCTGGTGAATAAGAAAGTTTCCTTTCTGAATGAAACTTTTTCCGCACTCTAAACATGAATAAGGACGCTCACCTGTGTGATTCTTCTGGTGTTTAAGAAGATTACCTTTATCAGTGAAAGATTTCCCGCACTCTGAACATGAATACGGGCGCTCACCCGTGTGAACTCTCTGGTGTGCAAGAAGTTTTCTTTTCTCAGTGAAAGATTTCCCGCACTCTAAACATGAATAAGGACGTTCACCCATGTGAATTCTCTGGTGTTTAAGAAGACTTGATTTCGCTGTAAAACATTTCTCGCACTCAGAGCATGAAAAGGAACACTTACTCGTGTGTCTTCTCTGGTGTCTAAGAAGTGTGCTGGTTTTTTGGAAGGATTTCCCGCACACTGGACATGACAGTGAATTCTCTCCTGTGTGATTTCCTTCATGGCTTGAGGACGATTCCTTGGGATTAGATGGATCTGTCGACCTCTCCTCATTGTGAGGTCTCAGATGTGCATCTGGAGTAACAGTCTGTGATTGGTCAGAAGGTTCCTCAGGATTAGAGGGATCCATTGATGTCTCTGAATGGGAAGGTCTGTGATGTGTATTATGAGTAATGGGATTCACTCCCGGAGAATGTTGTGTGAGCTCGTCATCGTCTGCTTTATATTCTGAAGAGACGTTCTTCCAGACATAGTGTCCATCTGTTGGAAACCAACGTTTCAATGTTATAAGTATTCTTCATGCCTTGAATTCAAAAAGTCATATTTCGATAGAACACCCAACATGTTCTTAGAGCTCGGACATGGAACTGGTGGCAATCATAACAAATAATACAAACCAGATAAAGAATCCAACACACCCAAATCACCCCGAGGAACATTGTTACTGTGAGAATGGAGATGGACCTTCATATGGTGTACAGTATCTCCTCCTCATTTGTTGGTCACATGACGTTATATTGAGGAATGGAGATGGACCTTCATATGGTGTACAGTATCTCCTCCTCATTTGTTGGTCACATGACATTATATTGAGGAATGGAGATGGACCTTCATATGGTGTACAGGATCTCCTCCTCATTTGTAGGTCACATGATGTTATATTGAGGAATGGAGATGGACCTTCATATGGTGTACAGTATCTCCTCCTCATTTGTAGGTCACATGATGTTATATTGAGGAATGGAGATGGACCTCTATATGGTGTACAGTATCTCCTCATTTGCTGGTCACATGACGTTATATTGGGGAATGGAGATGGACCTTCATATGGTGTACAGTATCTCCTCCTCATTTGTTGGGGAAATGACGTTATATTGAGGAATGGAGATGGACCTTCATATGGTGTACAGTATCTCCTCCTCATTTGTAGGTCACATGATGTTATATTGAGGAATGGAGATGGACCTTCATATGGTGTACAGTATCTCCTCCTCATTTGTAGGTCACATGACATTATATTGGGGAATGGAGATGGACCTTCATATGGTGTACGGTATCTCCTCCTCATGTGTTGGTCACATGACATTATATTGAGGAATGGAGAAGGACCTTCATATGGTGTCCAGTATCTCCTCCTCATTTGCTGGTCACATGACGTTATACTGGGGGAATGGAGATGGACCTTCATATGGTGTACAGTATCTCCTCCTCATTTGTTGGGGACATTTTCATTTTCCTTCTGTTTTACTCATCTCACCCTCCTCCATAGACTGCTGAGCTCCCGTCACATAGATCTCTTCTTCTTCCTTTTTAACCTCAACTTTGATGTTTTTCAGTTCTTCACCCTAAACCCCCAAAATGATAAAAATATAAACATATAGAAAAACCACAACTGCCAATAATAAGAGATAATGTATAAAAATGTGATCTCATACTTTCCAGTAATCTCTGATTTTTATATCCCAGACTCACCTACCTGATCATGGTGGGGGATGCTGAGATCTTCCTGTGTGGAATCCCGGGAATACAAAAGACCACACGTCTCCATAGACAGCTGATCTCTCCTCACATAGGTCTCTTCTTCCTCTTTAAGTTCAGCTTTGACGCTCTTTAGTTCTCCACCCTGAACCACAAAGATGATAGGGTTCAATTTAGAAAAAAGAAACAAGAAATGACATAGAATGTCATCCCGTATAGGTTAGAATCTCTTTTGATGCTCAGTCCCACCTACCTGATCATGGTGAGGGACGGTGAGATCCTCCTGTGTGGAATCCCGGGAATACAGAGGACGGGGACATCTCTCTGGTGGGTTTGTGTCATTGAATGGCTCCTTGACGTCCTTGAAGGGGTCTTTCTGTCCTAGAAACTCCTCCATCACACCAAGCTCCTCCTCCTCCTCTTTTATCTCTTCTTTAACATCATTATCACACTCACTCTGAATATCGAGAACAATGAGATCAGATGTAACACCATAGATAATGAGGAGGTCATAGTGTATCAGCAATTATTTATTTATTTTCAACTTAACCTTATGTGAGATGGTGAGATCCTCCTGGGTGGAGTCCCGGGAATACAGAGGACGGGGACATCTCTCTGGTGGGTTCCTCTTACAGGATCCATCTGTAGGGAACACACACACTGACTGAATACATTGTCTCTATGTGTGTATCAGATGATGGGGGATGTAGGCGGAGCCTCCGTACTGCTCTCTCCTCTTACCCGGTGATGTGAGGGGCGGGGCATTCTCCATCACCACGTCCTTGTAGAGATCCGGGTGTCCTTCTAGATACTCCCACTCCTCCATGGAGAGATAGACAGAGACATCCTGACACCTTATAGGAACCTGACACACACAATGATACAGTCACCACCCAGACACATCCCTTGTCTACATAATATATAATATACATAATTGTCTATGTTTGGTAGATGAAATACAGGGCTGAGCTGTCAGGTTGACCTGATAAAATACAATATTACGCTATGTAAACATTTCGTATGTAAAGTATTTGTGTGTCGGCACCCCGTTGGATTACGAGTTGGGTTGGGTTACGAGTCGTAGTTCTTCTTAGTATCAGTTATTATGAGTGTTATGGGAACAAAATCATAACACCGTCTCATTTTCCTCCAGTTCTGGTTACACCTTCTCTCCACTTCCTGCCAAGTCACCTCTAACCTGGAAAATACCGTTCACTTCCTGTCTGTTCATGACATCACTTCCTTTCGTTGCGTTCCACGCTCTTAGGTGAGATCACCGTCCAGTGGAGAGCGTAGACATTGCAGGCGATACGTCGGCTCCCTCGCGGTCCGTCCCTCATTTTTGTGGCATGCGTTACATTTTACTTTCTTCCGGGTGTTTATCACTTTATTATATCGCACATTTGAACGTCGTGTTTTCCGACAAGTGTGCGTTCAAAAGGCAAAACTTGTTACACTTGCATCACATTTTATATAGATCCTTCACTGGAGCGCAGTGTCGTCTGGATTTCTTTGAGCTGATTTGTGTGGATCCCGTACACATTGAACACACCACCCGGTGTATCACCGTCGCCATGGCGCAGGTCCATCTCTACACGTTACAAGTAACACAACTGGAGAATGCTCCAAGGATCGGTTGTCAACGTTTAGAAAAACAACGCAGGCTGCAGTTTTCACATTCTCCACAAGGAGGTCTTCTCAACGCAAAGACAGGAAGTGATGTCACGTATAATTAGAGCAAGAGGCGGTTTGGGAGGAAGTAGAAATGAGGCATTGATGGAACTGGCAGCAGAGGAGGTAATAAGATATTATGTTATATTCACACCCAGTAACCCCTCCCCCCCATCAAGTTTTATTTGGTCCCCCACATTCACTTTGATCTCCATCACATGTTGCTACCCATATATAGAGTGATACATCCTAAATATAGAACCATTTATCCAACTGTCCATCCAGAGCCGCCATTTATAGACCGGATACATCCTAAATATAGAGCCATTTATCCAACTGTCCATCCAGAGCCACCATTTATAGACCGGATACATCCTAAATATAGAACCATTTATCCAACTGTCCATCCAGAGCCGCCATTTATAGACCGGATACATCCTAAATATAGAGCCATAATCAGGTCGGTGGGCACTTACTTCTTGATGTCTTTTTTGCATTCTTTGTTTGCTGACTAACAATGTATTTCACAACTACATTTATTTTATATTTCAAAAACCTTTTCTATCATCTTTGGGGATTTAGGGTGAAGAGCTGAAAGACATGAAAGTTGAGGTTAAAGAGGAAGAAGAAGAGACGTTGGTGAGTGGAGATCAGCAGTCTATGGAGGAGGGGGATCCACTGTATTCCCGGGATTCCACACAGGAAGAATACAACATCCCTCACCGTGATCAGGTAGATGGGACCCAGCACGTTGACCATAAACAAACTTTAAGAGATGAGATGACAGCAGTTTATGTAATCTCTTGCTCCACTTTATAAATGTACCGTATATCATCATCTTTGGGGTTCAGGGTGAAGAAGTGAAAGGAATCAAAGATGAGATTAAAGAGGAAGAAGAGAAATCGGTGAAAAGAGATCAGCAGTCTAAAGAAGAGGGAGGTCCTCTGTATTCCCGGGATCCCACACAGGAAGATCTCACCATCCCCCACCATGATCAGGTAGGTGGGACTGAGCGGAAAGAACTCTGAAAAAATATATATTCTAAACTATAAGATGTTCTTCCAGGTCATCTCCTGATGTACCTTTTCAAGACGTTAAATTCTATCATCATCGGGGTTTTAGGGCGAAGAACTGGAAGACATCAAAGTTGTGGTTAAAGAGGAAGAAGAAGAGACGTTGGTGGGTGGAGCTCAGCAGTCTATGGAGGAGGGGGAGATGATGGTGAGAAGTACACAGGAGGAATCTTCTCTACATACGGACACAAGTAAGTCATAAACTAAATTCAGAAACGGGTCATATTTTCATTTTACTTCTCTGAGTATAAAGTATACATTTACATTGTGACATATGAAGGTCCATCTCCATTCCTCAATATAACGTCATGTGACCAACAAATGAGGAGGAGACACTGTACACCATATGAAGGTCCATCTCCATTCCTCAATATAACGTCATGTGACCAACAAATGAGGAGGAGATACTGTACACCATATGAAGGTCCATCTCCATTCCTCAATATAACGTCATGTGACCAACAAATGAGGAGGAGATACTGTACACCATATGAAGGTCCATCTCCATTCCTCAATATAACATCATGTGACCAACAAATGAGGAGGAGATACTGTGCACCATATGAAGGTCCATCTCCATTCCTCAATATAACGTCATGTGACCAACAAATGAGGAGGAGATACTGTACACCATATGAAGGTCCATCTCCATTCCTCAATATAACGTCATGTGACCAACAAATGAGGAGGAGATACTGTACACCATATGAAGGTCCATCTCCATTCCTCAATATAACGTCATGTGACCAACAAATGAGGAGGAGATACTGTACACCATATGAAGGTCCATCTCCATTCCTCAATATAACGTCATGTGACCAACAAATGAGGAGGAGATACTGTACACCATATGAAGGTCCATCTCCATTCCTCAATATAACGTCATGTGACCAACAAATGAGGAGGAGATACTGTACACCATATGAAGGTCCATCTCCATTCCTCAATATAACGTCATGTGACCAACAAATGAGGAGGAGATACTGTACACCATATGAAGGTCCATCTCCATTCCTCAATATAACGTCATGTGACCAACAAATGAGGAGGAGATACTGTACACCATATGAAGGTCCATCTCCATTCCTCAATATAACGTCATGTGACCAACAAATGAGGAGGAGATACTGTACACCATATGAAGGTCCATCTCCATTCCTCAATATAACGTCATGTGACCAACAAATGAGGAGGAGATACTGTACACCATATGAAGGTCCATCTCCATTCCTCAATATAACGTCATGTGACCAACAAATGAGGAGGAGATACTGTACACCATATGAAGGTCCATCTCCATTCCTCAATATAACGTCATGTGACCAACAAATGAGGAGGAGATACTGTACACCATATGAAGGTCCATCTCCATTCCTCAATATAACGTCATGTGACCAACAAATGAGGAGGAGATACTGTACACCATATGAAGGTCCATCTCCATTCCTCAATATAACGTCATGTGACCAACAAATGAGGAGGAGATACTGTACACCATATGAAGGTCCATCTCCATTCCTCAATATAACGTCATGTGACCAACAAATGAGGAGGAGATACTGTACACCATATGAAGGTCCATCTCCATTCCTCAATATAACGTCATGTGACCAACAAATGAGGAGGAGATACTGTACACCATATGAAGGTCCATCTCCATTCCTCAATATAACGTCATGTGACCAACAAATGAGGAGGAGATACTGTACACCATATGAAGGTCCATCTCCATTCCTCAATATAACGTCATGTGACCAACAAATGAGGAGGAGATACTGTACACCATATGAAGGTCCATCTCCATTCCTCAATATAACGTCATGTGACCAACAAATGAGGAGGAGATACTGTACACCATATGAAGGTCCATCTCCATTCCTCAATATAACGTCATGTGACCAACAAATGAGGAGGAGATACTGTACACCATATGAAGGTCCATCTCCATTCCTCAATATAACGTCATGTGACCAACAAATGAGGAGGAGATACTGTACACCATATGAAGGTCCATCTCCATTCCTCAATATAACGTCATGTGACCAACAAATGAGGAGGAGATACTGTACACCATATGAAGGTCCATCTCCATTCCTCAATATAACGTCATGTGACCAACAAATGAGGAGGAGATACTGTACACCATATGAAGGTCCATCTCCATTCCTCAATATAACGTCATGTGACCAACAAATGCGGAGGAGATACTGTGCACCATATGAAGGTCCATCTCCATTCCTCAATATAACAATGTCATCTATGTACAAACAATGTTGCCCAGTGTTTTGTGTGTTTTGTGTTCTGTATCTGGGTTGTCTTGATATATTTTGTTATAATTCCATGGAGAAACTGTTGAGACCTTGACCAACACATAAGACTCCTGAATGTATGAGGAATACTTAAAACATTTCTTCCAGCAGATGGACATCATGTCTGGAATGCTTCTGAGGAACCTCTTATGTTCTCTCCAGAAGATGATGACCTCACACAACATTCTCCAGGAATGAATCCCATTACTCGTAAGAGACATCACAGACCTTCCCATTCAGAGACATCGATGGATCCCTCTAATCCTGAGGAATCTTCTGACCAATCACAGACTGTGACTTCAGATGTCCATCAAGGTCCTCACAGTGTGGAGAGATCAACAGATCCATCTAATCCCAAGGAGTCTTCTTTAAGCCATGAAGGAGATAACACAGCAGAGAGCTCATTGTCTGGTTCAGTGTGCGGGAAATCCATCACAGAAAACAGAGACCTTCTTAGACATGGGAGAAATCACACAGTTGATGGTCCTTATTCGTGTTCAGAGTGTGGGAAGTCTTTTATTCAGAAAGGAAATCTTCTTAAACACCAAATGATTCACACGGGTGAGCGCCCTTATTCGTGTTCAGAGTGCGGGAAATGTTTCATTCACAAAGTAAGCCTTCTTAAACACGAAAGAAGTCACACGGGCGAGCGTCCCTATTCGTGTTCAGAATGTGAAAAATGTTTCAGTGATAAAGGACACCTTCTTAAACACCAAATGATTCACACGGGTGAGCGTCCTTATTCGTGTTCAGAGTGCGGGAAATCTTTTATTCAGAAATGGAACCTTGTTAAGCACCAGAGGTGTCACACGGGTGAGCGTCCCTATTCATGTTCAGAGTGCGGAAAATGTTTCACTCAAAAAGGAAACCTCCTCAAACACCAGAGAAGCCACACAGGTGAGCGTCCTCATGCATGTGCAATGTGTGAGAAAAGTTTCAGTACGAAACAAAAACTTCTCAAACACCAGAGATGTCACACGGGCGAGCGCCCCTACTCATGTTCAGAGTGCGGAAAAAGCTTCATTCAGAAAGAAAACCTTCATAAGCACCAGAGGAGTCACACAGGGGAACGTCCTTACTTGTGCACAGAATGTGGAAAACGTTTCACTCAGAAAGGGCACTTTGATAAACACCAGAGAACTCACACAGGTGAGCGTCCTTATTCATGCTCAGTGTGCGGGAAAAGTTTCATTCAAAAAAGTGCTCTTGTTGCGCACCAGATGATTCATTCAGGCGAGCGCCCTCACGCGTGTTCAGAGTGTAAGAAATGTTTCATTTCTAGAGGGGAACTTGTTAACCACCAGAGAATTCACACCGGGGAGCGTCCTTATTCATGTCCAGACTGCGGGAAATGTTTCATTCGGAAATATGCACTTGTTACGCACCAGAGGATTCACACGGGCGAGCGTCCTTATACTTGTTCCGAGTGTGATAAATGTTTCAGTCACAGAAATACACTCATGGTACACCAGAGAGTTCACACGGGCTAACAAGCTTTTTCGTGTTCAGACGGGTCATTTGGGTGCATGGAAAAAGCATATCAAGGTTTTATTTTTGGGTGGGAAGTTTGATAGTTATAGGCCCGCAGGGATTTTGATTCTAGCAATATGGTCCAACTTTGGTTCTGCACTCATACGTACAACGCAATAAACACTCAGCCATGGTAGTACTGGGCCAAATATAGTTATACATAGCCAACTATGGTAATACATGGCCAACTATGACAATACAAGGCCAACTATGACAATACAAGGCCAACTATGACAATACAAGGCCAACTATGACAATACAAGGCCAACTATGACAATACAAGGTCAAATATGACAATACACGACCAACTATGGCAATACAAGGCCAACTATGACAATACAAGGCCAAATATGGTAGTATGTGGCTAATATATAGCCAATTATGGTATTACATGACCAAATAAGGTAATACGTGGCCAACTATGGCAATACATGGCCAACAATGGTTATACATGGCCAACAATGGTAATACATGGCCAACAATGGTAATACATGGCCAACAATGGTAATACATGGCTAACAATGGTAATACATGACCAACTATCGTAAAACATGACCAACTATGGCAGTACATGGCCAACGATGGTAATAGAAATCTAACTATGGTAATACATGGCCAACTATGGTTATACATGGCCAAGTATGATTATACATGGCCAACAATGGTAATACACGGCCAACAATGGTAATACACGGCCAACAATGGTAATACACGGCCAACAATGGTAATACACGGCCAACAATGGTAATACACGGCCAACAATGGTAATACACGGCCAACAATGGTAATACACGGCCAACAATGGTAATACATGGCCAACAATGGTAATACATGACCAACTATCGTAATACATGGCCAACTATGGCAGTACATGGCCAACGATGGTAATAGAAATCTAACTATGGTAATGTATGGCCAACTATGGTTATACATGGCCAACAATGGTAATACACGGCCAACAATGGTAATACATGACCAACTATCGTAATACATTGCCAACAATTGTAATACATGGCCAACAATGGTTATACATGGCCAACAATTGTAATACATGGCCAACAATGGTTATGCATGGCCAACAATGGTAATACATGGCCAACAATGGCAGTACCTGGATGTAAGGTCCTGAGGGTTGGTATTGCCTTGCTGTACTGCATTGCTCTGTTTTTCACGTTAGCTGAACATTACATTTTTTTGGCAACTTTGGGTTACTGTATCCATACATTGAATCTAGTTGTAGACCCGAATCATTGCATGGCCTGTCTGTACACAAGTCAATAAAATCTTTTCTTGAGTAAAAGAAAAATAAACAAAGACCGCCTGCTTTGAATCATTTCCATATTGTGTGTCAAGTTATCAAAGACTCTACGGAGTGACCAGCCGGCCTCGGGGTACTCGCTGTATAATGAATCCAAAGTACGCGCGGAGTCACGCCAGGGGTCCCGGATTTTATGGAATTCAGCCAGTTTCTTCTCACATAGGCAGCTTTCTCATAAGGGGGGATCTGGATGATTGGGAAGTTTCCTTTGGGATAGGATAGGGGGTGGAGGGGCTCATCCAGTTAATAGGATGGCTGCCAATAATGTTTCTCAAAAAAAATATTTTGGAATATGGTGGTCAGAGGTCTTCTAGTAGACCAAAGAGGCCTAGTTTAGGGGTACATGGTATTGGTTAGTCCAGCACTGCAGGGGTTAACTGCCCATTTATGCCCAGGGTATCCTTTACACACCTTATCCCTCCCTCCTCCGGCCACCAGCATTCAACTCTTCTCCTTGATGCTCTAGGATAGGGCACTCGACCCTTCTCCTTGATGCTCCAGGAAAGGGCATTCAACCTTCTCCTTGATGCTCCAGGATAGGGCATTCGATCCTTCTTGATGCTCTAGGATAGGGCATTCGATCCTTCTCCTTGATGCTCCAGGAAAGGGCATTCAACCTTCTCCTTGATGCTCCAGGATAGGGCATTCGATCCTTCTTGATGCTCCAGGATAGGGCAAAATACATGACCAACTATCGTAATACATTGCCAACAATTGTAATACATGGCCAACAATGGTTATACATGGCCAACAATTGTAATACATGGCCAACAATGGTTATGCATGGCCAACAATGGTAATACATGGCCAACAATGGCAGTACCTGGATGTAAGGTCCTGAGGGTTGGTATTGCCTTGCTGTACTGCATTGCTCTGTTTTTCACGTTAGCTGAACATTACATTTTTTTGGCAACTTTGGGTTACTGTATCCATACATTGAATCTAGTTGTAGACCCGAATCATTGCATGGCCTGTCTGTACACAAGTCAATAAAATCTTTTCTTGAGTAAAAGAAAAATAAACAAAGACCGCCTGCTTTGAATCATTTCCATATTGTGTGTCAAGTTATCAAAGACTCTACGGAGTGACCAGCCGGCCTCGGGGTACTCGCTGTATAATGAATCCAAAGTACGCGCGGAGTCACGCCAGGGGTCCCGGATTTTATGGAATTCAGCCAGTTTCTTCTCACATAGGCAGCTTTCTCATAAGGGGGGATCTGGATGATTGGGAAGTTTCCTTTGGGATAGGATAGGGGGTGGAGGGGCTCATCCAGTTAATAGGATGGCTGCCAATAATGTTTCTCAAAAAAAATATTTTGGAATATGGTGGTCAGAGGTCTTCTAGTAGACCAAAGAGGCCTAGTTTAGGGGTACATGGTATTGGTTAGTCCAGCACTGCAGGGGTTAACTGCCCATTTATGCCCAGGGTATCCTTTACACACCTTATCCCTCCCTCCTCCGGCCACCAGCATTCAACTCTTCTCCTTGATGCTCTAGGATAGGGCACTCGACCCTTCTCCTTGATGCTCCAGGAAAGGGCATTCAACCTTCTCCTTGATGCTCCAGGATAGGGCATACGATCCTTCTTGATGCTCCAGGATAGGGCATTCGACCGTTCTCCTTGATGCTCCAGGATAGGGCATACGATCCTTCTTGATGCTCCAGGATAGGGCATTCGACCGTTCTCCTTGATGCTCCAGGATAGGGCATACGATCCTTCTTGATGCTCCAGGATAGGGCATTCGACCGTTCTCCTTGATGCTCCAGGATAGGGCATACGATCCTTCTTGATGCTCCAGGATAGGGCATTCGACCGTTCTCCTTGATGCTCCAGGATAGGGCATACGATCCTTCTTGATGCTCCAGGATAGGGCATTCGACCGTTCTCCTTGATGCTCCAGGATAGGGCATACGATCCTTCTTGATGCTCCAGGATAGGGCATTCGACCGTTCTCCTTGATGCTCCAGGATAGGGCATACGATCCTTCTTGATGCTCCAGGATAGGGCATTCGACCGTTCTCCTTGATGCTCCAGGATAGGGCATACGATCCTTCTTGATGCTCCAGGATAGGGCATTCGACCGTTCTCCTTGATGCTCCAGGATAGGGCATACGATCCTTCTTGATGCTCCAGGATAGGGCATTCGACCGTTCTCCTTGATGCTCCAGGATAGGGCATACGATCCTTCTTGATGCTCCAGGATAGGGCATTCGACCGTTCTCCTTGATGCTCCAGGATAGGGCATACGATCCTTCTTGATGCTCCAGGATAGGGCATTCGACCGTTCTCCTTGATGCTCCAGGATAGGGCATACGATCCTTCTTGATGCTCCAGGATAGGGCATTCGACCGTTCTCCTTGATGCTCCAGGATAGGGCATACGATCCTTCTTGATGCTCCAGGATAGGGCATTCGACCGTTCTCCTTGATGCTCCAGGATAGGGCATACGATCCTTCTTGATGCTCCAGGATAGGGCATTCGACCGTTCTCCTTGATGCTCCAGGATAGGGCATACGATCCTTCTTGATGCTCCAGGATAGGGCATTCGACCGTTCTCCTTGATGCTCCAGGATAGGGCATACGATCCTTCTTGATGCTCCAGGATAGGGCATTCGACCGTTCTCCTTGATGCTCCAGGATAGGGCATACGATCCTTCTTGATGCTCCAGGATAGGGCATTCGACCGTTCTCCTTGATGCTCCAGGATAGGGCATACGATCCTTCTTGATGCTCCAGGATAGGGCATTCGACCGTTCTCCTTGATGCTCCAGGATAGGGCATACGATCCTTCTTGATGCTCCAGGATAGGGCATTCGACCGTTCTCCTTGATGCTCCAGGATAGGGCATACGATCCTTCTTGATGCTCCAGGATAGGGCATTCGACCGTTCTCCTTGATGCTCCAGGATAGGGCATACGATCCTTCTTGATGCTCCAGGATAGGGCATTCGACCGTTCTCCTTGATGCTCCAGGATAGGGCATACGATCCTTCTTGATGCTCCAGGATAGGGCATTCGACCGTTCTCCTTGATGCTCCAGGATAGGGCATTCGACCCATCATCATGATGCTCCAGGATAGGGCGTTCAACCTTCTCCTTGATGCTCTAGGATAGGGCATTCGACCCTTCTCCTTGATGCTCCAGGATAGGGCGTTCGATCCTTCTCCTTGATGCTTCACATTCAAGGCATCCTCAGAGTTTGTAATGTCAAATATTTTTAATGTTGCCCCAATAAAATACCCTCCCCCTTTTTTTTTTTGCATTGGTCCATTCCCCCATGGCAGTGCCCAGGTACCTCTTCTTAGCACTCGTGAATGACGATTGATCTACATGGCTGGACAATATGATTTAACAATGGATTTACACGGTGGGACTTTTTTTGGAGGGACAATTTTCTTTCATTAGAAAGAATTAGATCGGTGTCTGTCTAAAGGGGGCTTCTAGATCTCAATAGGCCACCCCAAACACCCACATGCACCTATAGCCATATACGCAAAAGAGAGCTCCTGAGACCCAATCTGTGTAGACAGTATGGCAACTTGCTGACTTGATCAGATCTACAGGCAGCTTAACTCCCCGATAAGGCACAGAAGTTGAACCCATTGTAGTTTTACTTCAGGACTCAGTACAGAGGATGTTTTTT